TTTCCAATTCGAGTTATTAAGCCCTATGAGTGTTTCTACACTTAACACCCTAAAACCATCTAGTTTGGGAGTTGTTGGCCTAACACTTGCTACATGGGTTGGTTAGAAAGCTTAAAGAATTTTGACATTGCACGACCCGAGTAAGTGATCTTTTGAGTTGATCAATAAAATCATCATTAAACAACAAAAGTTGTTTTGTGAATTAAAGTTAAGCCTTGGGGACCTCATTTAGAAGGAGATTTAAGGATTTGAAAGCTTGTGTTTTTGGGATTGGAAAAAGAGGGTAAAAGCCGCATATTGGGAATCCGATTCACTTTCACTGAAGTTAGAGTTAAATTCCATTTTAGAAATGACAATTGAAATGTTTATATAGGTTTTAATGAGCAGTGCGTAAAAGTTGAAACTTATTTTGCCATTTTGAGTATCAAGGCTTTATATATGTAAGGTAGTTTACTTAATGAGTCTATTTCCAAATTCTCTGTTGTTCTAAGTTATTTTTTAGCTTCGTAGATAATTTCTTGCTTCATGATTGATACGTGTTGACGGTATTTCATATGTCGTCATTTGGTTAGGTTCTATATTTTGTTTTGCTAAGGGACTAGCAAAATATAAGTTTGGGGGTGTAATAAGCGCCGAATATTGCATATTCAAGTGCCCTTTCTTGCTTAAGTTAGGTCCATTAATGAAGTATAATGTACAGTTTTACTTTACTTGTGTACTTTTGTCTTGTTTCAGGTCGGTTTCCCCAAATATGATTAAAGAATCGATTTTGACATCATTCTTGTTGAAGTAGGTGCGCCGTTGCTGGGGATCGTCCAGTCCTCTTGAGTCCTCGTATGCATGGAGATCGTGGCTCAGTGTTCAAAGTGGAAACCGCATCAACGCTCTGGCTCGAAGAGGCTTACAAGAAGCCTTGATGAAGTTGCAGCCACAAGGCCTCGCGGGCGCCCGCCGCGCCATCGCAGGCGCCCGCCAAACTCCTCAACTCTTTGCCTTGTTTGGCGAGGCCCCGCAGAGCCCCCGCCGAGACACCGCGGGCGCCCACCATTTATGCCAGTAGCTCCCCTCGGACTTTGAACACTCGCGGGCGCCCGCGGATCTGCAGATGACAGTTACCTGCTCCGGATTTCCTGCTAATTTTGGTCCCCTTTTGCATTTTTTGTGGTCCTAATTGCTCTAGGGTGGTTAGAGCTCGTGAGGAGGAGGATAAAAAGTAGATTTTGTGGTAGAGAATAGGGGAGGCTTGTTTTATCTCTTGTCTAAAATTTTAAGAAGCTTTTAAAGAGAGAAATATTGTAAAAAGTGAGTTTGTGTGTTCTTTAAGCTCTAAGCACGAAAATGGAGGGGGTTTTCATCTCTTCTCCTTCATCTCTTGCATCCATAAGCAACTAACTCCCTATCCTAGGGAGGTGATGAAGCTAGTCTTTGTAAGTATGCTATAATCTTGTTTTGATTTGGGGAATGAAGTGTGTATGTAATATTTTCATATTCTAGAGACTTGCACATGTTGTAAATGTTCTTCAATTCAATAAATGATGGTGTTAAATGTATTATCTTGTCTTAGATTGTATATTTTCATTATTATAGGGCTTACATCTCCATAGTGAGAATGGAGATAAGAATATGAAATGATTTTAATGGCATGTTGTATGGAAGGTTTGATAGTCCAAGCTTAGGGCCTCCCTTTTGATGGATTATCCTTCTTCATGTGCACTTACCACACAAATTGAGGACTTTGATAGTTCATAGCTTTGGAAGGATATTTCATGCTATACCCTAGTTTAGATAGATGAATTATACCAACCTTTGATGAATTATACTTAATTCTTGAATGTGTGAACTTCTTGAAGATATTGTAGTTGTCTTGCATTTCTACATATCATGGTTACATGTATATTTTGTCCCCTAAGTTATTTGCAAGCAAGCATGTTTACATAATTGGTGGTGAATTCACTTCCCTAGCCCTCTCTACATAAGTTCCTCTCATCTTAAATTCCTTTCATTTACTGTTTTATGCACATTCTAATTTTAGTTACTTAGTGACAAGCCAACAAACCTCTATATACCCTTTCATCATTCTAAAAGTGATTCTAGACATCTTAGTTGCCATAAACTAGCAGTCCCAGTGGTTCGACTTACCCGACCAATAGCCCTATTTTACAATGATTTGTGCTATTGCAAAGGTTGATGTATAATTGTAATCAATCCGTCAATCACCTACTGAGCTTTTTGCTCACTCCATTATTTAACATTTTCAGGGCCAGGAAAAAATGTAGCGGATGCCGATCCCTCTCAAGCATGAAGAGGACTAGAGATCTATTTTGATCTTTTTTGTGTACTAGTTAATCTTTGGTGAAGTCTTAAATTATGAAATAGAGTATTAATTTTTTTTGCAAATCATGGCTATGTAACATAACTAAGATACTTCATAAATTTTTTTTTATGTAAATTAAGAATATGTAAATGTTTAAGTTGAATAGGATGACGATGATGTTGTTGATGTTGTAGTATTGGGGAATATATTATATATATTTTTTTGTATTGTGTATTAGGACAGGTTGGATAAGTCTTGAAAGGCCAAGAAAGGCCATTGCATTTTTTTTAAGTAGGTTATTGTAGGCCCCTTTTTAGCAGAGGTCATGCCAAATTTTTTTATTTTTTTATTTTTTATAATTGGTATTTAGTTTTGGGTCGTTACATGAACCCATTGCCGGAGTCGTAAAACGACACCATCGAAGATGAACACAAGCAATACATTAGCCCACCACAATGACAACATCGATGTAGATGAGTACGAACTCGAAGACTATCAATGGTGGAATGGTGAATTACTTGTCCTGAGATGAAGACTTTGCCATTGATCAATTTAACTCATAACTCACATGGTCCAATTCACTAAAACGAAAAACAATGTTTGATTTTTTTTTTTTTTTCCTAGTTGGTACTCACGCATACTTGTCTCTTCTGAGACTAGCTTGAACCCCTGACCTCCTTTTGCGAGGTAAGAGGCTAGTATGGCTTGTTGGTAACAATGTTTGATTTTAGATTCAAAACACATAAGTAATATATATCGCTGCGTGAGAGAGAAAGAGGGAAGGATCGGTTTCTATTTCCTGTAATCATCATTTTCTTTTCTTTTAAAATTTTAATACTTGTTGATGTTTTATTGGGTCACCTTATCATAAGAATGAGGTTCTTCCTTATGTAGTCTAAGGTAAATATTGTTCTTATTTTACTCAATCTGAATAACTCATGGATCATCATCATTCTTCTCCTAACCCCATGTTAATGAATAACTAAAGGGTTAAGTGCAAAAAAAAAAAAAAAAAAAAAGAACTTTCATAATTTACAAAATGTGCAATTAGCCCCCTGTTGTTCATAAAACCCCCCTTATATTTTTTAATTTGTGTAAATAAGGACAAATCTTCTATTTAGTCCAAATTAAATAATGAAATGATCAAAGTGCCCTTACAATATATATATATATATATATATATATATATATATATATATATATATATATTACTTGTAATGACCCAAACCCGGTGTTCGAATCACTAATCGGGTCCTAACCCGGGAACACCCAATGGTGAAATGGTCTTTTTGACCAAAATAGTGTACTAAAGGCTATAATGATATCATAATAATCATTAGTAATCGAATTGGTCCACATATAAGTGGAAAAAATCAACTCTATCCTTAAACCGGTCCAATTAGGGTTATAAAGGTAATTCGGTCTTTTTGGACCGTGCGACGCATTGGGGACCTTACAACTGCCGTCCGGGTCATATCTAGTCATTTGAAGTCACATGCAAATGTGAGAAAACAACTTGGTTCAAGGTAGCTCGTTATGGGGTTAAAAGGGTAAAAATGACTTTTTGAACCATCCTACTCGTATACGAACGTAGCCATATGTGTTCCATACATTCTATAAGCCATGTAGAACCCACACGGTGAAGGTCGGAGTGAACGAAAGAGGTAAAAAATAAATAAATAAACAGTAGCTAACTTCCAATAACGAGAGCTCAGACCATGTCGTACGAGCGCTCGTGAGACATGGCATGTTGAGAATTGGGACTTGCTGTGCTCGCTATGATACTCTTCATCTTGTAAAACTTGTGTCAATAATATATAGAGCCTTGCCCTCGTATGATTTGGCTCACAAAATTCAGACTGACCATATATATATATATATATATATATATATATATATATATGTTGTTGGATCTCCACTAAATTTTGCTTAGTATCTTACGAATGTTCTCGCCCTTCTGATAAGATTGATCCCCTTTAACGTGCATGTCCAATTAGCCTGATAAATTTTTATGAGAATTGACCCTAAAGAAAGAGCAAGTACAAGAGCGTCTACATCAGGAAACATGATCGTTGACCAATCCGTCTATCAACACAATTAGCTCATAAATTTAAAATTAGAGTAAAAGAAATTCAATAGAACTTTAGGTAGTTGAGCATCTAATTCTACGCATGCACAGGTATGAAGGTTACAAAATTCAACGAATCTACTTTTCTTGCTCTTGACCAAGAATATTTATAGCAGAAGTTGAATTCTGACTTAACTTGTATTCCAGGAATTGGAAAGTTACGAGGCCACTTCAAAATCTGTCTGACCAATTCTCTTTTGTGGAATGGAAAAGTTTCACCGTACACTCTCAACACTGCAACAACTTGGAAGGTGATTTTCTTCCACCCTGAATTTAGCATGTTAAATGAATATGGAGTTATTTCAAGTTTTACACTTAGACCGCTGTGTGAAGAAACCACACACACACACACATATATAATGTGTATATAATATATATAGCATGACATGACAAGCCACCATTTCTTGAATAATGACAAATTGGGTGGAATTTAATTTATTCCTTTCTTTTTAGTCACTTCAAAATTGATCGAATGTTTGTAGCAATTGAAAGCTTACAGCTAACCACCTCGGGTAAATATATATTGTCAAAATAAGGAGCATAAAGAAAAGAAAAGGATAAAGATAAAAGACCCTCATTTATTGGAGGATGTATATGATACATGGCAATGAACTTCAAAATGTATATGCATATTGTTATTTCTCATCAACCACCAAATGTAATAGAACCTGTCAAAACACTTGACAAAAGTTTGAGAAACTAAAAAAATCTAGAAACAAGCACTTGAAAATACTTGCACTTATAAGTATACACCTCATGATACAATTAAATAACCAAAATATTTCTGATCTTTCAGTGATATCCAATGGGTGCTGGAGCAACATTCAGCTCATGTCCTTGATAATGTATGTCCTGCAATTCATTCAAATAAACCAGTAAGCATAGATATACAAGTCAATTCAAATAAACTCCATCTTTCTTAATTAACTACATGAAATTCTATTACGTGACAGACTTAGGTATAGAATATGTACCGATGCAAAGTGGTTAACATCGCGGTGGTGAGCTTCATCTGCTCTTACAACGAAGACCACATCTTTGAGAGTGGCGTCCGGTGAGAGGCGCCAGTAATCAATGGCTATGGCCGGCGCAGGGACATTCTTTATGTTGCCATTATCGATCTCCTTGAGAAACTCGGTGTAGGAATGAACGGCCTCCTCTTCCAAATAACCCACAATGCGGTGAGCCAACTTTGGGGAAACCAAGTAGGCGGTGAAATAGGCATTGAAGAAAACACCCTGTACCGCGAAAACAAGAGCGCGCTCGTACCAGTTGGGCATGGCTACCTCCATGAATGTCAGGAGGTGCATCCTTTCATTTTCAGCTTCTTCAAGCAGAGCTCTAATCCAACCCCCGCTGTGCTCGAACCGCCTCAATGACTGGCAGTGGAGCAGCAACCCTCCCACCATGCCCGGGACTGCAGCGATTGTTTCTAGCATCATTACTCGATACACAAAGTTTCTCTGTAATCATACACATGGATCATATATATAATTCATTAAACTGTGATTTGATTCAAAAAAATAAAATAAATATATCCGAACTTTGAAAACAGAGCAAAGTAGATGTCCAAGACAACATTCAAAACTAGAACAAACCATATATATATGTACCTTAAAGAATAGGTCAGTGGGGATTCTGAGAACCTTGACTGTCCAATATGCCACTTTGTCCAAGAATTTTTCAGGCTTATGGTGCTTCTTCAGATCTATTGATACGTCGGACTTGTATGTCTCCCATGGCTTCATTCAATATTTATCCAAAAAATCATCAGTCACAAATAACACACATACGTGCATTTAAATAAACTTTCTCGTCCCAAAATAAATATTTTTTTATAAAATTGTTAAAAGAGACGTTCTTTTTAAAACAAAGAGAATATATAAATTAAAGAGTTAATTATAATATTACATTAAAAACATTTATCTAATGACACGATGATATATATATATATATATCACCACTAAAAAAATATATGTTGGACAACATTATTATCTATTATTTAAACTAGTGTGTTTTTGTGCCCAGTTTATTTATAGAAGAGGGGTGCATGATTGTGTTTTAATACATACCTTGAAACAAGTCCACGGCCATTCTGTACCGTCCTCCTTAGTGATCTTTTGTGGCTGAATGCCCCAGTAACTCACGATAGCCTTGTCATTTGGACCACCAGGGGTGCCACTTGCTGCCGGACCGGTCTGCGCTTTCTTCTCCTCACCGACGGCCATTGTACTCTCATTCCGTAAACCCATGACCGGAACCCTAAACAACGTCACAATTGTCCTCTCCGGTCTAGCATTAAGAAAGCCTGTGACCGACTCATTAGTTGTGGAACGAACTGTTGCAGTTGAGAAGAAGCGTGGGCCTGCTTGACCCATTGCCGAACAGACGACCCTCGTCGCTCTGCGACTCATCATCATCATTGATAGATATTCAGACCAAGGACAAGATGAATAATTAGCAAGCTAGATGAAAGCTAGAAACACGTTGAGCTAGTAGTAGTAGTTTGGAACGAAATTGAAGATTGTAAAGAACGTTCTGGTGTTTTGTTTGTTGTTGGATGTTGAGATGAATTTGAGAGGGTTTGAGGGAGGGTTTATATAGTGGTAATTGTGTGTGTTTCTATATCGAAATGTTGACGGGTTCGTTCAGTTTTCCTCGCGTGTATGAGTTGTTGGTGTGCTGTTATTTATATACGAATCTTCTTGATTGCTTCCCAACTTTATTTTACATTTTCTAATTTGGTGCAATATATAATACTGTATAAATTGTATTAATATATGAGCTGTGCTAAATATTACGTATTTAATTTTCATTACTATTAATATAAAAAATATTTTCATTTATATATTTTGATTATTTTTATATTCTGTAGCAACATTTTTTTTTTATCAAACCATATCTAACTTCTAGTATGTACGGAATACTATACTGTAGATATTTTTTTTACAAAAATGCCCATCTACAACGAATTTGAGCAGGGGCATTTTAGTAATTAAAGTTGAAAGTTTCTAGATGAAATAATATCATTAAATTCATTAATTACTACAGGAAAGAAATGTTTGAATTTTCTTGGGGTACAGGGTTTAGAAAAGCAAAACATTAATAAGCGGTGGATGTGTGATGAGGTCAAAGTCTTGGTCAATGGGTATTGTATTGTGTGTGTGTGTGTGTGTGTGTGTGTGTTGGTTCCACAAGAGTGGAACAATTCTAACTTGAATGCCGCTGGTGATCCAGGGGAGACTAACCTGGGAACAGACGCCAGCCGCCACGTAATTAATTTGACCACTGCGACACCATTCACCCTAACGCGTGTTGAGGTTACATCATGAACCTACATGCATTCACACTTTCCAAAGCTTCTCCCACACAGACAATGCGTGTGAGTGAGTAATACGGAGTATTTATCTTCCATGACTAAAAGAAAAATAAAATTTTCTTAGCATGTTGTTACGAATTCACACAACTTTATCATAATTTTCTATATATATTTTTTTTTTAATCTTTTTATGAAAAGTTAGCTGTGAAAATTATTTTTTGATTCAAAACTTCATGTCTCACAAATGTAACGTGGGATCTATAGATTTATTTATTGTGACGAAAGATCTATTATTAAGTAAGATTGTAATCTATATCATTATTATTTTTTTATTATCTAACCTTTTAAAATATTTAAAAATTTCTTATTTTTTCAAATCATAGCGAGAGCTCTGTGAATATGAGAAATAATATTGGATGATCTTTCTATTCCTAATATGAGGAAAAATTAAAGTGAATGTATGTTTAAACGCCATTATGGATAATTTCTATAGGGTAACCCTTTTATTCATAACATTATTTATTTATTTATTTATTATTATTATTATTATAAATAATAAAACAAATGCACATACATTCGTTTGATCAGGTGGGGACTCTCCCTCTCCCTCTCCCTCTCCCTCTCCCTTTCCTTTTTTCCTAACATAATTTATTCTTCCCACATGTTTATGTAGAAGACTAAAGTCCACTGACTTCCGTGATACAGTTTTTAAAATTTGACATTTTTTTTTTTATTTATAAATTTTGACATTTCACCTATGTAAATAGTACAAACGTGATGACGTAGGAAATTATATATATATATATACATATATATATATAAGGAGTTAGGAAATTTGGATTCTCTTGTGATCACCATGTAAATACAGGAATTTGTGTCCAAGATTCCAAGCATAGAAATGTTGCCAACGTAACCCTCACTCAAAATAATAATTAAAATGGATCTAGAAAGTAGAATAGGAAGTAAAATAACAAAAAAAAAATTGAATGGGTCGTGAGGTTCATGCATAATAGGAGAAAGAATTAGTGTCAATGTCAGACATAATACTATACATAATTAATTGAGAGACCTATTCTAAAAACAACCGAACCATATATTGACAAATTATGTACCAGATGTCAGTTATTGCAAAAAAAAACCTCTCAGAATTTCATAAAAGTTTAGTAGTCAACATTTTTACATTGGTAATTTTTGCTTTTTGAAGGGAGCGAGGTTGGGATTGGATCTCAGTAAGGGAAATGTGTATGTGAATTTGTTTTACTATAAATAAATAAATAAACAAATAAATAAAGTAAACAAGATAAAATGAAGTTTAGGAGATGCTCAGCCAAACATGAATTCACAAAACATTCGAGCTTTAATCAAGATTGGGCTTGGCTCAAGTTTGATCACTCATTGTACTCAACTCAATTCAAAAAAAAAAAATATATATATATATATATATATATATATATATATTATTTAAAATTTATTCACAATGAGTTCAAGATATTATTATAATGTCATCAATTATAATGATGTTATAAGATATTCACAGTAAAATTGTTGAGATTTTGTTCTGGTTTTTAAATCACTTATCATTTTACTTATAAATTTTAGTATTATCTTTTTCTTTTTTCTTTTTTTTTTAGGATGTTGATTCTCGGCTGCCACATTTAGTGTGATTCAATAGGAATGGCAAATTCTCCATCCCCGCCAGGCTCCGCCCCGTTTATAGCGGGAATGTGGATCCTTTTAGCTAAACGGGGGATGGGGATGCGGGCAAATTATGAATCCCTATCGGGCCGGGGCCGGGGCCGGGGCTGGGGATGGGGTAAACCCACCCCGCCCTGATTAAGTGTGAAGTTACTAATATACCCTTACGTATAATAATTTATTACTAAATTAGATTTAATATATATATGAAAATAAGAAAAAATGTGTTTTTTTTAATAAAAAAAATTTATGAGACCGGGGCCGGGGCGGGGACGGGGATAAGGTGTCGGAGGCAAGGGCAGATATGGGGATTCTGGTAAAATTTTAAGCGGGGATGGGGGCGGGGATAAGGAATGAAAAATGCATCGGGGATGGGGATAGGGAATGGAATCCCCGCCCCATCTCGCCCTATTGCCATCCCTAAGTGTGAATGCTTGTGGACAAGAGTTATGTAACATTTGATTCAATTTCAACAATAGTGAAAAGAGTATTGCTTAGAAGACACTAAAATCAAATGAATATACCTAGGCCCTGCGTGGCTGAGGTTCCTGAGGGCTTCAAACGGACTTCTAAGCCCAAAAAGGCATTCCTAAAAAAAAATGGGTGTTTGGTGGCATTAATGAAATGGGCTTTTAACAAAATTAGAAGCCATCAAAAGCCTGTTAAGCTAAAGCTACAAATACATGCTTCCAATATAGGATTCTCAAAACATGCAAAACATGGGTTGTTGGAATATATTGGAATATTATAAGATTACTATTTTATCCTTAAATATTGATTACATTGCCTATATTAACCTTTATTATTTATTAAATTACAACCATTGTTTTTCTGTACAACACGCTACTTCAGGAGTCCCTCATCCTCCTTCCTCTCTCTTATATCCCAGTTTCTTTGCCGGCATCGTTAAAATTGATGGTGACCGCTACCACCTCCAGCCGATTGGTGGAGTTTCTAAAAAATTAATACAATGCACCCTTATTCGGATTTAGGCGTTAAGTTTTCTTTGTTGGCACCACCAGCCGATTGGTGATGCACTACCTCTGTGCGTCGCCATGGATTCCATTGACCAGAAAATAAAGAATCATGTTTAGATTTATTTATTTATTATTATTATTTCTTTTTTGTTAGGTGTGAACGTGTGTTTTGCTTGATTTTCCCTTTTTTAGCCTCTTTGATAAAAAAAATAAAAAATAAAAAAAAAAAAAAGAATTGGGGGAGTCAATATATATATATATATATATATATATATGAGAAGGGTTTTGAACTAACACAAGTGTATTTCATGGTAATGGTGCATTTATATGACTCTGGTGTAAGCTGTGACCCGAAAGAGGTAGCTTTGAAGTGATATTTTCGTTTAAGATGGACTTGCACCAAATTAAGATTAACATGGAGATGAATAATTATGGAGTTATCCAAATCTAAGGGAAAATGATTAATTGTGTATTTTTATATGTATATACTTGTATCTTAGAAGTGGTAATGCTGTATATACTTTCTCTCATAATTGGTTCTCTAATACATGGTGTTCTTGTTCAGGAAATGTGAGGATAATATTGTCACTTTAAAAATATTAAATTATGTGGTTGAAATTATTTCTTAATTCAAAAGGACTTTAAAAATTAAATATACCAAACATATTTTCTGATTTAAATTCCTTTTATCGAAAGTTCTTCTTCAAGGACTTTCTTAGTATAGGACTTCTTGGCATCAGGAAGCTCCCTTAAACAGGGCCCTACTCTTTCTAACACCATTGGTTGGAGTGATTCCATGGCCGAGTAATAAATGAAGACATGGCTATCAATATACCAAGACAAGAACTCAATTAAAATGGACAAACAAACACATATACATAGAATTCATTGAAAATGTAAGGGTTTCTTTTTCTTTTCTTTTTTATAAATTACTTGTTTATACAATCATATATTACTAATTTAATTATTTATATTTTTATACCTGTATTCAAAATTAATTTATTTTTTCCGTTCATTATTAAATTATTTTTTTCATATATATATAAAATATTTATCCCAACAAACAAGGATCCATGCTTCCCATAGATATCCCAACAAACAAGGATCCATGCTTTCCATAGATATCCCGAAAATATGTTGGGTGAGCCAAGCATACTACTCCCTCTATCCCATATTAGATGTCACACTTGGGCAACATACTTTTTTAAGAGGACATATATTTATTACATTGTTCACTTTAAGAATTATTAAGTTACCATTTCAAATTTGAATATTTATATAATTAAAGTTTGAAATTTTTTAAAAGTTTAAGGAGATTTTATGGCAGGATAATACTTACCTACTTACCGATGAGTATGAAGCTTATACTCACCATGTATGTGGCACAATATTAAATTGGCAAGCATTATTACATTTAAAATAATAAAAATTAAATAATTTGATAACTATTTGGTTAAAACCCAAATGAATTCGAATCAAATTCTAATTCTCTCTCCTCTTCCTCTTTCTCACGCTTCCCTAATCTCATCCTCCTTTCCCTCTCCCTCTCCCTCTCCCCCCCTCTCTCTCTCTCTTGCGCTCTCATATTTTTAGAGAGAGAAACTCCACTCGTGTCTCCGGAGAACTAGAAGAAGAAGAAAAAGAGAAGTAGATGCAGAAG